ATCTCCATCATATTCATCTTTTTTTGTTTCATACAGATACTCACCACCCTCGACCTCCGCTTTAATGAAATCGGAGCTTATTGGAAACAAGAGCTTAAGAAATTAGGCAACAAAAAGCTTAATTTTTCGATGGAGTTATAATACAAAATGAATGAGTTTTGTGGATTAGCATTCGAATATGCTTGGAAATAAAAACGATTACTTTCTGATGTGAAAGTAATGCAATAATTGATTGAAGTTTTTTTTGCCTTGTTATTTTTACTTACATGAGTCGATAGACCTGGCTGAGCTGTACAAAACTGCCTATGTCAGAAAAATTTTAAAGCCTTTTCTTAGGACAATATTTTCAAAAACTATAGCAAAAATTCGATTTGGGTAATTTTTTTTTGTATGCCACAAATTGCTCGATTTTTCGGTAAATTCAGCTCTTTTTCGTCGAGATTAGTTTGAAGATATGCTCAGTCGATGTAGCGTAAAAAACTGCATCTAATGTGATCAATATTAAAGTGACCGCATATGATTTTTTTAAAGAATCTATTATCCTAAGAATGCGCATCAGTTCAAAATGTCAGACGAACTATGGCAGAAAACTTAAACTCTCGCTACGATCATTCTCTATCCTAGAATTTTATGTCATTTTATTTTTCATACAATGGCAAAAAAAGTTATGTATCCATCTTGAGGTGTAGGTGTGGAGGTGGTCACTCCGTTCATCACTGACCCACGCCCTCAACGTCACCTGCTCACAAGATAAGATTTGAGGAAAACAAATTCATAAAACTACTATTCTTCTGTGATCTAAAAACTTTCTATGAATGCTTGAGAATCAATTGTTAATAGTCGGACAAAAATTTTCTTCAAAATGATCTACTAATGTAAGGATATGTACAGATAAGCGACATGACTGAGCATGTTCTAGCAAATGATCATTTTCATTGAGAAATCAACTAATTTAAAAGATGAAATGCTGATTGCAAGTCGGAACTGTGATATTGGATTTTTCAGTGAATGTTCTCCGCAGAACCTCACTTCTCGACCAAAATCATATGACTGAAGGTCTCTATCAGTCTAGGTTACAGAGAAAAATTCAAAACCTTTTAAGAATCTTTCGTCAAGTTATCAATATATCAGGATATTCAAATTCTAAAGAAAAGCATCAATATTTCGAGGGAAGACTGTTCAAAGGTTTAATTTTTTTTCGGTAAGTTAGTTTTATTGAGATCTTCATCGATGCAAAGTTTCAAGTTGAAATTCGAAAATATGATTTTGCTTAGAAAATGGGATTCTATAAAGAAAATTCACTGAGATATCCAATATCTCACTCCCGGTTCGCCATCATCATTTCATATTTTAAATTTGTTCGTTTCTTTATGGAAGTAATCTTTTGATCGGAGCGAGATCAGTCATTTTATTTATCAGCACACATCCCTCCATTGTGAATAGTCTTTGATGAGAAGGAAGATTTTCTGGTGATATGAATATAATAATAAGTAGTTCAGCAATCAGCTATGATACAGTTAGAGACAAAGTATCATTTGGTAAAAATAATAAAGATCCACATCTATTTGGAATTTGATAATTATATTCATTTTTATTTCATATCGAAACATTCTATTCAATATATATATTTTCAATTATTTGATGAAGATCTTTCTCAATATCTTGACATTTTTCTTGAAACAAATTGTTCAAAAGATGAAATTGACTTTGAAGAAGATTTAAGAATATTTTAATTAAATTCTCATTTGTTTCACTTAATGAATAAAGGAATTGTTTATTTAAAAATTCTTGTTGGATAATCAATTTACTTAAAAGTCGGTCATTGGACATTTATTATACAAAACGTTCATTTACGCACGAAATAAAACAAACAAATCAAATTTTATTTTTCTGGCGTTTAGATTTATTCAAATATTTCTTCAATGGAAGTATCTCGAATTAACATGACGATTAGAGAAGCAAAATGAATTTTTCTATGAACAAGAATATAAGATGTTTTCTTGAGCGGCGGTACACTATCTCGTGTTTACTTGTACTACAATCAGATTGAGGATTAGTCAGATAACTCTTGATTTTGGTGCTTCTTTAATATTTAATTTTATATTAATTTCTTTACTCACTATCAGAACTAAAAGCACAATCTGAGAGATAATTTCACAAGAGTCCCTCTATCGGATAAAACCCACAATCTTTTAAACCATAAGCAAGTTCTACAGTACTATGAAGAAAAGTCCGATCGAGTTTTCACAATAACAACAACAACAATATTATTGAGATCATTTTGTTTCGAAAATGACTCATTGCTAAAATTTGTGATGAAAATAAAAGATAGCAGTTTTGCATAGTTAATCTTTTTTTGCAAGGATTATTCAGATATTAAAACAATACTAACATAATCCTTTCAGAAAGAGAATGTGCGCAAAAAAGCTGCTAATATTAACATAAATCATGATGTTAAAGTCAAACAGACGTGTCCAAATAAATATCATCAACATGACGTTCGTTCGTATTTTCTGTGCAAATAGATAGAAAGAGGGTGTGGGTGTGGGTGTGGGTGTGGGTGAGTGATGGATAGATATAGTATACTGTTAGAGGATGATATATATCATCCTCTAGTTCATCCACATGTCTTG